GAGAGAGAGAGAGATCCATTGATCAAAAGATTACATCTTCATTTCCCTTATATCACATGAAGGTACATGACGATAATTCCCTTCATCGGCAAAAAAGAGCAGGCGAAATTCCAAAGCAATCAAAAGAAGAGATATTGTCGGTTCTTGGAGACTCATCTGATGATAAGTATCCAATATACATGGAAGGTACTCACTATTCAGAAACATTTCTGTAACAATTCTTTATAATATTGAACCCCAGTTTTCCATACACATCTAAACTAAACTGCATCGACTCATGCTTTTATCTTGGTCACCGAATGTAATATTTCATTGCTTTGCAGGGCCATTGCTCCATACCTTATGCACTGTGCTGATTGACCTGGATAAGAAAACAATGTCTATATATCAAGGGAACCCAAAAGACAAGAAGGTTTCTTATTGCTTCTCTCTGTCCTGAAAGAAAAGAAAAAGCAATCTGAAGGCCATGATAGTGGGTGATATCCATGAAAGTTAAAGGCCCAAATCTTAGCAACAAAATCACCAACAATTATCGCAAAAAACTCTCTTTAAGTTATATGAGTGAGGAACAGAGTTCATCACCCACTTGTTATTTCTTCAATAGCTTCATCAACACAAGGCAGAGCAGCTCCCTGCAAGTCCACTAAGGATTCCATCAATGATGATCAATCCTAACAAATTTTATCAACTATCAGAACCATACTGGTTTTCACAAACAGTTACAGAGTGTAATTGCTATGAGAAGCTTGACAAACTACTACATTTTCTTTTTTTTAAAATCGACAAACATGAACATGTTATGTCTTATTTATCACAAGTTTCCGGATAAAAGCAAATTGAAACTGTATGAAATCGACTCTCTTTCTCAATCTTAGAATGGGGGCGTCTATGAGTTATTTTAGTATTGTTAGGGTGCCAAAACTGGTATTTTCTTTTTTTTTTTTTTTTTTTTGTACAATGTTCAAAATATTATTGCTAGAAAGGAATGAAGTTACAATCAACTAAATTAAAGCAGAATCCGAAACTAAGAGAGACTGAAGAGAAACTCCCCTCTTCGCATAAGAATCTACTATGTCGTTTGCCTCCATAAGCACATGTCTGAATGATACATCCAATAAGTCTCCAATATCCATAGCTTCTAACCAAATTGACCTCAGCTTCTATGGGGGTTTCTAAACCTTAGGACGCCAGTTTATTACATTCAAAAAGTCCCCTTCTACTACGCAAGGAATAATCGGATTCTTATCCCTTAGAATCTTTAGCCCTTGGAGAACTGCCAACATTTCAGCCTCATTAGCTGTTTTTTCACCACACGAACCGACAAAGGAGAAAATAATATCACCATTATGATCTCTCGCTACCCCTCCAATGCCTGTCGATCCCGGATTACCATAGGTACTCCCTTCAGTATTAAGATTTATACTTCCCATATCCAGTGCCTCCCATCTTCCTCTTGGTCTTATCTTAATACTCCTCTGTTGCATGAGAATTCCCAAGTTAATTTCCACATCCACCTTTGTAATCTCAAAACCTTCTTTTGTTACTGAGAGAGAAATCCTTTTTTTCATCAAAATGTTATCCATAGAACTCCCTTCAAAAACTTGCCTATTCCTCTCGAGCCATACCTCCCAAAGTACTGCTGCTCTCCCAATATTCGAGATGAAATAGCAATGCATAAGCTGATTTAACCAAGAAACATTCATTCGTTTGGGCTTCCCAAATTACTTCATTACTCACCCCATTGAAGATCTTCTTTCCCTTTAGCCGATGTAACAACTTTGAGTACTAATTAATAAACTCATCATTTAATCTATTATACCCACACACAATATTCCACCTTCTCTAAACCCCATCAAACACCTCACTTACTGTAATCTTCGGATTCACCACAATGTTGTAAACCAACGGGAAGGTTAATTTCAGTGGTGAGTCCCCCTCCCATCTATCATGTCAGAAAAGCCCTTGATCCCTAACCAATCTCCCATTGAACATATTATTTCACAAACCACTTATTATGAAGAATTCCTTTCCAAAAATGAGATTGATTTCTCATCCCTCTTCCTCCACCCATCCATCCCATGTCTCGGTCAATCCCATATCTTGCCTTCACAATATTAAGCCATGGTAGGTTATCCTCCTCTAACGCTCTCCACCACCATTTAGCTAGTAAAGCCCAATTCATATATTTGAGCTTTCTCACTCCCAATCCACCTTCGATAACCAGAGTGCACACTCTATCCCAACTGACCAAGTTGTACTTTCTACCAAAGTTGTCACAACCCCGCCCCCTACCGTCCCTGCCGGACCCATAGAGGGCTAACCCGGGCTCATCGAAGGACAATAGGGTGAGGGGTCGTGACCACACTTAGCGATAGACACTCAGGTACAGTGCACTCAATGCTTTCATAAAGAAGGATCAAAGCTAACCGCGAAAGCAAAGAAAAACCAAGCACAAAATACACAGCCATGAACTGATGGACAAACAAGTCCCACAAAAGTACATATATATCAGTAAAAAATAGTACATATAAGTCCAAGGAACAAAAGGCCCAACATCAAGACATAAGCCAAAAAAAAATGGACTGTATGGCCAACCACCAACTAAAACATATAAGTAAGAAGAAGAGCTTCTACAGGAAGGGAGTATGGGGCTCCAACAGCGGTCACCAGAACGCCCTTCCTCAACCCATTGGCTATTACTCTACATCAAGGCGAGTTAAAAGAGTGAGTTGTAAAGCCTAGTAAGTAGATCAATGTGTCATGATATCTTGCCTACACATGTTATCTCATAACAATACTCACAATGTTAAGCAAATCTTACTAAACTTAAAGTCATTTGTCAAAATCATATTTACCAATGTGTCGTGCATGATTCATTTCATGGGAGGGCAATAACAAATCAGATTAATCAGATATGATATAAATCAGAAATCGATCAAATCATTCAAGTATCTTAACAGATCAACATAATTAGGTATGCATAAACAAGATCAACAAATACCAACTAAGTCACTCCCTGGCTCACCTACTCCGGAAGTAGAAGCCCTATCAATCAGGCCAATCAAATCCCGATGCTTAGAACTTTTACCATCTCATCAAGAGGAAAGCACCACCAACGGGCCATTCCCTTGGATAATGCCTCACACACAAAGTCACCAGTGCGCTTTGGGGCTTTTGATAGGTGGTGACCTTGCAAGACAAGACCCTCTCATGTGCCCTTCCGACGAGAAAGCGTTCCACTACTAAAGAGGTCTCAATGAATAGTGCCTCAACAGAGTCTTGGGGGGTGCGACCCTCCCAAACATTCACATCCTAACTCCCCTTCCTATCATGGAGAGTCAGGGAAAGATCGCAGCTGCCGGCACCATCATTCACACAGTAGATGTCCTTCCCATCAGGCAACAGCCAACACCATCATTCACACAGTAGGTGCCCATCCACATATCACAGAGCATGTGCCCATCCGCATATAACATATCATAAGCAGCAAAATATGATGGGCAAACACATAATGTGCCCATCTTATATCAGACAGCTGTCGGCACCATTATTCACACAGTAGTGCTCTTCCCATACAGACAGTTGTCGGTACCATCATTCACACAGTAGGTGCCTATATATATATCACATAGCATGAGATCTCAATTGCTGGCACCATCATTCACACAGTAGGCACTCATACATGTATCACATAGCATGAGATCTCAGCTACCGGCGCCATCATTCACACAGTAGGTGCCCAACCACATATCACATCAAGAGCATCTTATGCATGTACTCCCATGAAGCAGCAACATGTCCAAGGCATGTTGTTAATATAATCATATTATCATGCTTATTAGCTCAAGAGACCTCATGTCAATATCATATAATATACAAATGCAACAAACATCACTATGTCATATCATCATGCATATTAGCTCAAGAGACATCATCATGTCAATATCATGCAATATACCAATGCAAGAAACATCACTATGTTACATCATCATGCATATTAGCTCAAGAGACATCATTATGTTCATATCATACTATATAGCAATGTAATAGTCATCACCAGGCCATATCATCATGCATATTAGCTCAAGAGACATCATCATGTCAATATCATGATGTATATCAAGGCAATAGACATCACAACATTGTCTTTCTGGTTTTCCAATATAAGCACAGTCCACCTTTAAAGGCATATCATGAGATTTAAAGATCATTTAAACTTAAAACCAGTTTCATAACAATCTAGCCTTATGAAAGGACAACTCTCGTACAAGGGGTAACCTCAAATATGGGTCTCAAGTTTTTCAAACTGTTTGATGTTCTTGGGTAAAGTTTCTATTTTGCATTGCAGAAAATTCAGGGTGACACCCTAATAGAAAAACGACCATAACTTTCAAACCACAGAAATTTTTTTCACAATTCCAAAACCAATTTCAAAATAGATTCATCTATCTATATTCAAAGTGGTTTGACATCATTTTAATATAGTTTGGTTAGTGAAAAGCTTCATACAAAAACACATTAAATCTCTAGAATTTTACTTCACAAATCTGGCATGCTTTAGAAAATAGTTAATAACTTTCAAACCAAAGGAGATATTAACAAGGGGCATTTTCTATGATGAAATACATTCAAAAGGCTATTGACCCACCAAAATTCATAGTCTAAGGTGAGGTTTAAGGTACCCAAATGATCTCTCAAACATGGACCACAGTTTTGGAAAACATAATACTCTTTAGAAAAATTTCAGTAGCATGCACCCGCACTCACTCTCTCACCTATACTCATACTTGAGTTTCATATTTTAATTAAGTAAGGAAATATGCATTAATATAAGCATAAAGCCATGGAAACTAGATCCACTTACCTACTCTAATCGAAATTCTAAAGTGTTCAACCAGCTTCACCTTGAATGTCAAGCTCAAATGGATTGGGTTCAAGCTTAAGGGATTAAAGCATGGGGAGGTCAAATGACTAAGGGAGAAGAAGGAGAATGAGGGTGAAAGAGGGGCAATGAGGAGAGAGAGAGAAAACCTAAAGTCTTGAGTGGGTGGTGAGTACAAATAAGCATGGATAGTGGAAGCATGCAAATGCCACATGATACTCATGTATGAAGAGAGAGAGAGTAAGCATGGGAAGCACAATGATGGGGGTGCAAGAATACATGTGCCACTTGTCATTTAAGTGAGCATGCATGAGGAGAGAGAAAATAAGCATGGGTAACACCATGATGGGGGTGAAAGCATACATGTGCTACAGGGCACTCATGCATGAAGAGAGAAAGCAAACATGAGAGAGAAGAAGAACCCTTACACCACCATACACCACCCGCACTCAGCAGCTCACTCAACCGTCTGCACTCTAAACATGCGTCCGTCCACCCGCACTCGCCTATGCGCTCATCCATTCATGCTCTCAGCACTGTACTTATCCATCCCATGCTCAACAGCGCACACATCCAGCGGTGCTCTCAACCCGCGTCGGTTCATCCATGCTTAACTACGTGTTCATCCATTCGCACTCAACCGAGCTACCAACGCGCGCTTGACCACCCGCGGTCTAACACAGACTCGTCTACCCGTGCGTGTGCTTTACCGCATACTCGCCTACCCGCGCACTTAACCATCATCACCTCGGGAAAGTCTTGGTCCTTACATCATCCCCCCCTTAAAAAGGATTTAGTCATCTAAATCATACATCCGCTATTCAAATAAATGAGGTACTTTTCCTGGATCTCATCCTCCCGTTCCCAGGTCAACTCTTCCTGGGAATGGTACTTGCTACAAAACACAGACTTGAGGAATCTCCTTATTACGCAATACATGCACCCTTCTATCCAGTATTTGAACTAGCCGCTCAATGAAGGTCAAGTCCTCTTTGATCGGTAAGGGTTCATATC